CCTCCCGGGTTCACGCCATTCTCCTGCCTCAGCCTCCCGAGTAGCTGGGACTACAGGCACCCGCCACTTCACCCGGCTAGTTTTTTCTATTTTTTAGTAGAGACGGGATTTCACCGTGTTAGCCAGGATGGTCTCAATCTCCTGAACTCATGATCCGCCCATCTCGGCCTCCCAAAGTGCTGAGATTACAGGCTTCAGCCACCGTGCCCGGCCAACACGGCTAATTTTTAAAAAGTTTTTGGCCAGGCGCGGTGGCTTAAGCCTGTAATCTCAGCATTTTGGGAGGCTGAGGTGGGCAGATCACCTGAGGTCAAGAGTTCTAGAACAGCCTTGCCAACACAATGAAACCCCAGCTCTACTAAACATACAAAAATTAGCCAGGCATGGTGGTGGGCACCTGTAATCCCAGCTACTAGGGAGACTGAGGCAGGAGAATCATTTGAACCCAAGAGGCGGAAGTTGCAGTGAGCCGAGATCACGCCACTGCATCCAGCCTGGGTGACAAGAGTGAAATTCTGTCTCAAATAGATAAATAAATAAATTCTTTTGTAGACATGGGGGTCTCCCTATGTTGCCCAGGCTGATCTCAAACTCCTGGCCTCACACCACCCTCCCACCTTGGCCTCCCAAGGTGCTGGGATTACAGGCCTGAGCCACAGTGCTGGGCGGAGGAGACCTCTCTTTAGGCGTGGCTGCTACCAGAGTCAAAGCCCTACAAGCTCCACCTGGCAGACCCAGTACAGCCAGCTCCTCATCTCCTTTCTCTGGCACCTTTCATTCTTCATCTTTTTTTTTTTTTTTTTTTTTTTGAGGCAGAGTCTTGTTCTGTCACCCAGTCTGGAGTGCAGTGGCGTGATCTCTGCCTCTGGCATGGAGGGCAGAGGCAGAGGAAGCAACTAGACTCCTGGTCCATGAACTGCTCCTGCCACCCTGGGTAGTTGTGCAAGGGCAGAGAGAAAAGGGTCCGAGGGCAGGCGGTGGGAGGAGGAGGGACAGGGACTTACCGCGATTGCAGGAGCCCCGGCGAATAGAGAGGGCATCCAGGGCAATGTCCAGGTAGGCAGTGCTACCCCGTGTTCCCTCAAACATCAGCTGCAAGAGGATAAATGGACCCAACCCCATGAGCCCCTCAGCCAGGCCTCCTGGCTCCTAGTTTCCTTCCTGATTTCAGATGGCTTGGCCCCCACAATCCCTTTTTGCCACACCCCCACTCCCAGGCTCCCCAACACCTAGATTTCCCCTGAGGTCCCACAATTTGCCCCTGGCCTTACCCGGGTGGGCAGGGTGAACCCTGCGGGCACAGTGACAGTGGTGGGCATCCAGGAGGGTCTCTGGGTGTTCCGGTGTTTCCAGAGCACGTGGGGGCGGCGGCCCTCTTCACCCGAGAGCAACAGCAGCCTGAGCTGGGCGCCCCAAGACAGCCCAAACATGTGGTAGGCGAAGTTCACGCAGAGCGGGCCTTGCTCCCATAGGTTGGGGCTGCGCAGGCGGGCCACACCCCCACGGTGGAAGTTGTTGGATTCCATATGCAGATAGCTGCCCTCTGGGGGAGGCAGAGCCCAGGACCCTGAGGCCCAGTCACCTCCGAGGGCTGCCCCCACCCATCCCCTTCTCAGAGCCCAGGCACTCCGTTCTGGTTGCCTCCCTTCTCCCTCCATCTAGCCATCCCCGCCTCCCAGACACCTCCCGGCTCATGGTCCCCCGGAAACCGTAGCCACTTACCTCCATTGGGGTACCCCCCGGGAGGCCCGGTGGTGCCGGTGGGAGAGGGCCCGCTGGCTCGAACCCAGTCTCCATCATCTGCGGACACTTGGGACCAGTCACAGAGGGGTTTGGCGTCATCCTCAAAATCACACTGGGTGAGGACGTCTAGGAAGAACGGGTCACTGTGAGGTTTCAGAGAGGACAGGGGCAGGGCCCAGAACCACACTGGGAGATGGAAGTAGCAAGATTGCTATGCTTAGAGAAAGCTGCCATGAAATCAGCTGGGTGTGGTGGCGCACACCTGTAGTCCCAGCTACTGGGGAGGCTGAGGCAAGAGAATCGCTTGAACCCAGGAGGTGACCTTTGCAGTGAGGCCAAGATCACGCCACTGCACTCCCGCCTGAGCAACAGAGGGAGACTCCGTCTCAAAAAAAGAAAATAAAAAGAAAGCTGTCACAAAGACTTGGGGTCCGGAGCAGAAATTGTTTGTTTTTTGTAGAGATAGAGTCTTACTGTGTTGCCCAGGCTGCTCTCAAACTCCTGGCCTCAAGCCATCCTCCCACCTCGGCCTCCCTAAGTGTTGGAATTACAGGTGTGAGCCACAGCACCTGGCCCAGAGCAGAGATTTGAAAGAGAGAATCTTTTAGGAGAAATTCGGGTCTGGGAGCGTGGACAGAATGCCAAGGTCGGGGACATGAACCGAGGTTGGAGGGCTGGACTTGGTCTGGCGGGACACGTTTTGTAGTCCTGGCTGATGCCCAGAGGGGACTGGAGGTGGCTGCTTCTGCTAGGAACTCAGGCACTGGCGTTCTGGTGACAGAATGTGGGTTCGGAGGAGGGAGGAGGAATCTTAGCACTCCTGGTTTCCAACTCACAGTTGTCCCTAGAGCTGCGAACAACCAGCTTCTTGTCCGGAGGCTTCTCTCTCCTTGGGGGTGGTTTGGAGAAAGCAAAAATGCAACTCTTGTCATTATCAAGAATTAAAAGAATTATAAGAATTATAAGTCATTCAGTGACTATGAGCTTTCTGAGTGGTCATGTAAGGATGATCCGTGTTTATGCAGTGAATGTATGTGACTTGACTTTTTTCCTTTTTTTTTTCTTTTCTTTTCTTTTCCCCGGCACTCAGGCTAGAGTGCAGTGGTGCAATCACAACTCACTGCAGCCCCAAACCTCTGGGCTCCAGCAATCCTCCCACCTCAACCTCCCCAGTAGCTGGGACTACAGGAGCATGCCACCACACCCAGCTAATTTATTTCTATTTTTTATAGAGATGGGGTCTTTCTATGTTGCACAGGCTGGCCATGACCTCCTGACTTCATGCAATCCTCCCACCTTGGCCTCCCAAAGTGCTGGGATTACAGGTAGGAGCCACTGTGCTCAGACCTCAGTTTTTTGTTGTTGAAGTTCTACTTGTTCAAATTCTCCCAAACACACTGCAGGACACCAAGACATCCATCATTTCTTTTTTTTTTTTTTCTTTTGAGACGGAGTTTCACTCTTGTTGCCCAGGCTGGAGTGCAATGGTGCAATTTCGGCTCACTGCAACTTCTGTCTCCTGGGTTCAAGTGACTCTCCTGCCTCAGCCTACCCAGTAGCTGGGATTACAGGCATGCACCACCATGCCTGGCTAATTTTATATTTTTAGTACAGACAGGGTTTCACCATGTTGGTCAGGCTGGTCTCGAACACCTGACCTCAGGTGATCCACCTGCCTCGGCTTCCCAAAGTGCTGGGATTACAGGGGTGAGCCGCCACGCCCGGCCTGTCATCCGTCATTTCTTTGCTGCCTCATACTTAAGTCTCCCTCATCAGCTGGGTCCACCCTGGGTCTTGTCCATTTCCTGAGGGCCTGACCCCTCGATCCTTCTCTCCTAGCCTTAGATGTGTCTTCCAGCTCTGCACCTCCTCTGTCCCTTCTCACATTGTAGCCCTGTCCTGCTCCCAGAACCTGCCCCTTAATTCCAGGCTCTGGGCCTGTGCAGCTCTCCCCCTTCCTGGTCAGCAGTCAAGGTCAACCCATTTCCATTCCACTGGGTTTCCCTCTTCCTCTCCAGATTTTTTTTTTTTTTTTTTTTTTTTTGAGATGGAGTCTCACTCTGTCACCCAGGCTGGAGTGCAATGGCATGATCTCGGCTCACTGCAAACTCTGCCTCCCAGGTTCAAGCGATTCTCCTGCCTCAGCCTCCAAAGTAGCTGGGACTACAGGTGTGCACCACCACATCTGGCTAATTTTTTGTATTTTTAGTAGAGACGGGATTTCACCATGTTGGCCAGGATGGTCTTGATCTCCTGACCTCGTGATCCGCCCACCTCAGCCTCCCAAAGTGCTGGGATTACAGGTGTGAGCCACCGCGCCCGGCCTCTCTCCAAGTCTTTTGTAGTTAGCCTGCTCACCCCCTCCAGCTCTGCCCTTCCATATTCCTACAGCCACCCTCAACTGACCCTGGTTTATCATTACCCGCTGGGCCCAGCTTACCTGAGATGGGCAGCCCCCACCAGCAGCAGCAGAGTCCAGACTGGAGGAACCATGAGGAACCTCAGTGGTGGCTCCCAGGGGAGAGGAGAAGGGCACAGTTGGGAGCCTGGACCCCTTTTATTCACCCCTGGCCTCCTTAGCTTGGCATCCTTCCAAGGATGCCATGAAAAATGAACAGAGAAACACAGAAAAGCTCTGGGAAATTAAAACTACGAGAGTTGAAATTTACCATCCAGTAGAAGCGTTGTAGATTGAAATTGAGGGAAATAAACTAGAGAGAAGGGGGAAAAAAAAAGAGAAAGAAACAAAAAGGAAACAGGTTTGGAGGATCAATCTCAAACAAAAGTCTAACCTCAAACAAAAGGCGTTCAAAAAAAGAGAACAAAGGAAAATAAATTATTATTTTAAAAAGAAAAACACACAAGAAAATATCCAGCACTGAAATATACAAGTCTCTAGATTAAAAAGGTATCGAGGGTGATGAATACACAGAGACCCATGGAAGCACTGGATTTCAGACTATCAGGGAAGAGAAGATCTGAAACACTTTCAGACAGACAGTAACAGGTCATATACCAACGATCAGAAATCAACATGGCATCCGGCTTTTCAATAGCAACCATGGAGTCTAAGAGGCAGCGGAACATTGTCTGCAGAATTCCAACAGAAAACCATTTCAAACCTAAAATTCTATAACTGGCAACGGTGGCAACTGGAGAGTTAGGTGAAGGAAGGACTGCAAACAGCCAGACGTGGTGGCTCACACCTGTAATCCCAGCATTTGGGACACCAAGGTGGGTGGATCACTTGAGGTCAGGAGTTCAAGACCAGCCTGGCCAACATGGCAAAACCCCATCTCTACTAAAAAATACAAAAAATTAGCCAGGGGTGGTGGCACATGCTCATAATCCCAGCTACTCAGGAGGCTGAGGCACGAGAATCGCTTGAACTTGGTAGGTGGAGGTTGTGGTGAGCCGAGATCGCGAGACTCCATGTCAAAAATAAAAAAGGACTGCAAATGCCTATTGGCAAATCACTGAGAAAGATAAGTCACAGAGGAAAAGATACAAACAACCAGCAAACATCTGAAAAGCTGTTCTGTTTCACTAGTAATAAGGGAAATGCTAATTAAAACTATGACTCTTATATTGACCATTTTTTTTTGAGACAGGACCTCGTTCTGTTACCCAGGCTGGAGCGCAGCAGCATGACTTGGCTTACTGCAGCCTCAACCCCCTGGGCTCAGGTGATCCTCCCATCTTAGCCTCTGGAGTAGCTGGGACTACCAGCACACGTCACCAAGCCCGGCTAATTTTTGTGTATTTTGCAGAAACAGGGTTTCACCATGTCGCCGAGGCTGGTCTTAAACTCCTGGGCTCAAGTGATCTGCCTGCCTTGGCCTTCCAAAGTGCTGGAATTACAGGCGTGAGCTAGTGTGCCCAGCCGACAAAAATTTGAAAGATCGGTAGTATGGAGTGTTGGACAAGATGCAGGTAGAGGCCGGGCGCGGTGGCTCAAGCCTGTAATCCCAGCACTTTGGGAGGCCGAGACGGGCGGATCACGAGGTCAGGAGATCGAGACCATCCTGGCTAACACGGTGAAACCCCGTCTCTACTAAAAATACAAAAAATGAGCTGGGCGAGGTGGCGGGCGCCTGTAGTCCCAGCTACTCGGGAGGCTGAGGCAGGAGAATGGCGTAAACCCGGGAGGCGGAGCTTGCAGTGAGCTGAGATCTGGCCACTGCACTCCAGCCTGGGTGGCAGAGCGAGACTCCGTCTCAAAAAAAAAAAAAAAAAAGATGCAGGTAGATACGAACTCAGTGATGATAAGACTGTAGGTTGGTGGCCAGGTGCGGTGGCTCATGCTGCTAATCCCAAGTGCTTTTTTGAGGCAGAGATGGTAGGACTGCTTGAGGCTAGAGACCAGCCTGGGTAAAAGAGTGAGACACTGTCTCCACAAAAAATGTAAAAATTAACCAAGCATGGCAGTATGTGCCGGTGGGTCCCAGCTGGTTGCGAGGTTGAGGCGGGAGGACTTAGGTGTTCGAGGCTGCAGTGAGCTATGATCAAGCCACTGAACTCCAGCCAGAGCAACAGAGTGAGACCCTGTCTCAAAACAAAACAAAAAAAGAATGTTGGTGAAAACTTTTTTTTTTTTTTTGAGACAGGGTCTCACTCTGTGGCCCAGGCTGGAGTGCAGTGGTGCCATCACAGCTTACTGCAGCCTCAACCTCCCAGGCTCAAGCAATCCTCCCACCTCAGCCTCCCAGGGTAGTTGGGATTACAGGCACGAGCCACCATGCCTAGCTAATTTTTGGGTTTGTTTTTGTTTTTTTTATAGAGATAGGGTCTCACTATGTTGCCCAGGCTGGTCTCAAATTACTGGGCTCCAGTGATCTTCCTGCCTCAGTCTCCCAAAGTGCTGAGATTACAAACATGAGCCATTGTGCCCAGATGGTGAAAACTTCTTAGAAGGCGTTTGTTTTTTGGTTTGTTTGTTTCTTTGCTTGTTTGTTTTTGGGGAGGAGTCTCTCTCTGTCACCCAGGCTAGAGTGCAATGGCACAATCTCAGCTCACTGCAACCTCTGCCTCCTGAGTTCAAGCAATTATCTTGCCTCAGCCTCCCAAGTAGTGGGGATTACAGGCATGTGCCACCACACCCGGCTAATTTTGTATTTTTAGTAGAGATGGGATTTCATCATGTTGGTCAGGCTAGTCTCGAACTTCTGATGTCAGGTGATCCATCCACCTTGGCCTCCCAGAGTGTTGGGATTACAGGCATGAGCCATTGTGCCTGGCCAGAAGACTTCTTAGAAGGCATTTGACAATGACTATTGAACTTTCAAATGTGCATATCTTTGACCTAACATTTCCTTTCTAGGAATCTTGCTGCAGAAGTACATGCACTTTGCACAAATTTGCCCATACCTAAAGATGTTAATTGCAACATTGTTTACAATAGGAAAAATTATCATGATAAATATTTATCAGTAGGTATGTGGTTGGATCATATTAAGAAATGGCCGGAGGCTGGGCACAGTGGCTCATGCCTGTAATCCCAGCACTTTGGGAAGCCGAGGTGGGCGGATCACTTGAGGTCAGGAGTTCGAGACCAGCCTGACCAACATGGTGAAACTCAGTCTCGACTAAATACAAAAAAATTAGCTGGGCATGGGGGCGCATGCCTGTACTCCCAGTTACTCAGGAGGCTGAGGCAGGAGAATTGCTTGAACCTGGGAGGCGGCGGTTGCAGTGAGCCAAGATCGCGCCATTGCACTCCAGCCTGGGCAACAAGAGCAAAAATGTGTCTCAAAAAATAGCGAAAGAAAGAAAGAAATGGCCAGGTGCAGTGGCTTGTGCCTGTAATCCCAGAACTCTGGGAGGCCAAGGTAGGAGGATTGCTTGAGCCCAGAAATTCGAGACCAGCTTGAGCAACATAGTGAGAACCCACCCTCTACACAAAAAATACAAAAATTATCTAAGTGTGGTGGTGCGCACCTGTAGTTCCAGCTACTCAGGAGGCTGAGGCAGGAGGGTCGCCTGAGCCCAGGAGTTCAAGGCTACAGTGAGCTATGATTGCACCACCGCACTTCAGTCTGGGCAACACAAGGAGACCATGTTTCTAAAAAGAAATAAATAAAAGAAAAAGAAAGCCCCTTTGCAGTCCCCAGGACCCCTTCTGCCCAAATGAGGCTGAAGAGCCTCGCCACGGAATGCCAACAGAACCCAGGCAGGGATTACATCTGAGG